GAGCAGATACACGGTGGAGGATGGGTGAGCAGATACATGGTGGAGGATGGTGAGCAGATACATGGTGGAGGATGGTGAGCAGATACATGGTGGAGGATGGTGAGCAGATACATGGTGGAGGATGGTGAGCAGATACATGGTGGAGGATGGTGAGCAGATACATGGTGGAGGATGGTGAGCAGATACATGGTGGAGGATGGTGAGCAGATACATGGTGGAGGATGGTGAGCAGATACATGGTGGAGGATGGTGAGCAGATACATGGTGGAGGATGGTGAGCAGATACATGGTGGAGGATGGTGAGCAGATACATGGTGGAGGATGGTGAGAGCAGATACATGGTGGAGGATGGTGAGCAGATACATGGTGGAGGATGGTGAGCAGATACATGGTGGAGGATGGGTGAGCAGATACATGGTGGAGGATGGTGAGCAGATACATGGTGGAGGATGGTGAGCAGATATATGGTGGAGGATGTCTCTGCACGGGAATTGATGACAGATGCACATATTTTTCATTATCCAAAGGAGGCTCACGAATGAACACTTGGTGAGCAGATACATGGTAGAGGATGGTGAGCAGATACATGGTGGAGGATGGTGAGCAGATTCATGGTGGAGGATGGTGAGCAGATACATGGTGGAGGATGGTGAGCAGATACATGGGAGGATGGTGAGCAGATACACGGGGGAGGATGGTGAGCAGATACATGGGGGAGGATGGTGAGCAGATACATGGTGGAGGATGGTGAGCAGATACACGGTGGAGGATGGTGAGCAGATACACGGTGGAGGATGGTGAGCAGATACATGGTGGAGGGATGGTGAGCAGATACATGGTGGAGGATGGTGAGCAGATACATGGTGGAGGATGGTGAGCAGATACATGGTGGAGGATGGTGAGCAGATACATGGATGGGAGCAGACATGGCGGAGAGATGGTGAGCAGATACATGGGGAGGAGTGAAACATGGCGGAGGATGGTGAGCAGATACATGGCGGAGGATGGTGAGCAGATACATGGCGGAGGATGGTGAGCAGATACATGGCGGAGGATGGTGAGCAGATACATGGCGGAGGATGGTGAGCAGATACAGGGTGGAGGATGGTGAGCAGATACATGGTGGAGGATGGTGAGCAGATACATGGTGGATGGATGGTGAACAGATACACGGTGGAGGATGGTGAGCAGATTTATGGTGGAGGATGTCTCTGCATGGGAATTTGATGACAGATGCACATATTTTTCATTATCCAAAGGAGGGCTCACTGAATGAACACTTTATTGATTGAACTTGATTTTTGAATGACTTTTTTTTTGATTCATACTTAAAACTATTCTTTATTTTTTGTGTGTTTTTTTTGTTTATATATATATATATATATATTATTTATTTTTTTTTTTTCAATAATTTAATATTTAATTTTTATTTTTTATTTTATCTAATATTTTTTTTTTTATATATTTTTCACTTTGTTTTTTGGTGTATAATTTGCCGCACTGAGACATGGGTTGGGCACTAGCAGAGCTACAGTATTTAACTCACAGGAAGGATGGCTTTTTCATTTCACCATAGTTAGCGTTAGAGTTATTCACATTTATTTTAGATACCACTGCTCATGACATTGGTCTGGGTTAGCAGAGTGGGGGTGGTAAAAAGGAAGGCTTGGCCAGGGTAGCAGAGTGGAGGCGCTAACACAGGAAACTGGTAAAATAACAGCCAGATGGGGCGCTAATTAACAGGCCGTGTCTGGGCAGCACTTTACCTGGGGGTGCAGGAGTCTGACAAGAGTGGAGCACCTCTTAACATCAAGCTCCCCCACTGGCTCAATGGGGCAGAGTGGGAGGCGCGTAACACAGGACAATGTGGGCTCATTGGGTAAATCAGAGTGGAGGCGCTGGTAATAACAGGAAGGACTCGGCTGGGTAGCCGTAACACAGGAAGGACTCGGCTGAAAAGGCGCTAACACAGGAAGGACTGGCTGGGTAGCAGAGTGGAGGCGCTAACACAGAAGGACGGCTTGTAGCGTGAGATGGTACAGGGGGGATTTCTGGGGGTAGCAGAGTGGAGGCGCTAACACAGGAAGGACTCTGGCTGGGTAGCAGAGTGGAGGCGCTAACACAGGAGGACTGGCTGGGGCAGGTGGGGTAGCAGAGTGGAGGCGCTAACACAGGAAGGACTCGGCTGGGTAGCAGAGTGGACTCGGGAGTGGAGGCTAACACAGGAAGGACTCGGCTGGGTAGCAGAGTGGAGGCGCTAACACAGGAAGGACTCGGCTGGGTAGCAGAGTGGAGGCGCTAACACGGAAGGACTCGGCTGGTAGCAGAGTGGAGGGTAGCAGAGTGGAGGCTGGGTAGCAGAGTGGAGGCTAACACAGGAAGGACTTGGCTGGGTAGCAGAGTGGAGAGTGGAGGCGCTAACACAGGAAGGACTTGGCTGGGTAAACATATACAGTAAATGTTCCTCTGCTGATTCACAATTGTGTAAATATGGTGATAAGGTGGGTAAGCAAAGGGTCTTTCCAACCAACTCATGTAGCCTCCCTAAAGGATACTTCTGCTACCCTTGTCTCCTCCTCAGAAGAAACCAATAAAATACTGGAAGATATTTGTGCCACTCTATATCTAGATCCAAGACCTTGAGGTGACCACAAAATTCCTAGACTCACTTCATTTACTCACTATTGGCCCCTCCCACCTGCAATCTGTAAATGCCCCTATTTTATTAAAGGAAGAGTCTGAGGTGATTAAAGGCTTACCTAGTGGGAAATCACCTGGTCCTGATGGCTACACACCAGCATTGTATAAGATGATGGACTCTCTTCATCCCTCAGCTACTGACAGTATATAACGAGGTTTGGGAGGGGGGGCCCATACCTTCCAATGGGTCACCAAGACTATATAAAACTGATTTCTAATAAGGGCAAGGACCCAACTGAACCGGAGGCATACCGACTCCTATCCCTCCTAAATGTGAACACTAAAATACTCTCTGAAATAGTAGCATCCCTCTTGGCTGCAATATTACCCTCCCTTATCCATACTGCCCAGGCTGGCTTTATTAATGGTAGACCAGTGGCTTCCAACATTCAGAAAGTTATTGCAGTGCTGGAACAAGGCAAGGTACACCCGTCTGAGGATCGAGCTATTATTACATTGGATGCTGGAAAAGTCTTGGATAATGTCAGCTATCATTGGCTTGCTCTGGTTCTTCTGATGGCTTTTCAGCAGTTATGGATTTCTGCTCACTTCACCCAGGGTGGTAGCTGCAGGCAGGTCTCAATATCAGGTGAAATATTGCTGCATGAAGGGTACTCACCAGGGTTGCCCCCCCTTCACCTCTTTCTTTTTCAACTTGCCCTGGAAACCTTTCTCCCGTTACCTTTCCTCCAGAGACCCCAATACATGGGATTCAGACAGGTCAAAGAAGAAAACTCTGTGTAGTTCAATTCTCCATCAGGTCTTCCCCAACCCCTACGGTGTTTGGGCCTTCCAATAAATTCTGTTTAAGAGTGGAAAAACTTTCCTTTTCCTCGAACCAACCCCCTTTCCCCCGGGCCCGCAGTCTCCCCCTTCACGTACAAATGTTCAGTTTCACATTTTCAGGCATTACGATGGGGAAAGGGAGCCATCCTGGGTTTCAAATCTTTTACAAACCCCCCAAACTGATATCAAAAAATGGGAAAATTTTGAGAGGGAAAAACATGGATGAAACCTTCCCCTTTATTGTTTTTTGGGGGGAGGGCCACCTGTTAAAAATGGAGGAGTTTTTGCTCGCCTATTGTCCCCCCCTTTCAAACAAAAATTTGGGGAAACTGTTTAAAACGGGGGGGAGCAAAAAAAAAAAAAGGGTGGAGCAAACGTTCCAAAAATTTGGATTTTTACCCCCCTTGCTTGTTTTTGTGTTTTGGGACAGATTGGATATTTGTGAATGACCCACCGAGGTAAAAGGGTCCCGGGGCTTTTCCCCCAACAGACTTGTAAATGTACAAGCGGGGACCAATAAACAGCTCTCACAGTATTTCCAATAGTTTACAGGAATGCAGCCGGAGAAAAAGGAAAAAAATTTATTCCCTTTTAAACAGCTTTTTTGGCTGTAAAAAAAAAATAAAAATTTATTAAAAGAAAAAGAAAAATGAAAAAAAAAATTTTAAAAAAATTATAATTTTTGTTAAATAAACAAATTTTGGGGTTATTTTTTTTTTTCTTTTTAAATAAATTTTTTCCCCCTTCATATAATCAGCCATGGGTAAAAATCTGGGGTTGAATAAAAATTTTTTTTTCCACCCCCACCCCCCTGGGGGTTCCAGCCCCCAATTCATCTAGAAAAAAATTTCCCGCATAAAATCCACAAAATTACCCCTCCAGGGTTTTTGGGGGACCCCTGAAGAACAGAAAGACAGGGATTCCCGTAAAGGCCCCCTTTTCCTGCACTCAGGGCGGGAAAACGGCTTTTCCCCCGGGGAAAACTCTAAATGTGTTTAAAAAGGGACTTCTTAAAAAAACCCCCTTTTCCCGCACTTCAGGGCGGGAAATATTTTTCCCCCCGGGGTAAAGATCCCAAGTTTTGAAAGGGGAACTTTTAAAAACTTTTCCCCCCACCCCGGGACGGGAAATAGGGCTTCCCTTGTGGAAAACTCAAAAGCTTTAAAAGGGTTTGGATTTCTCTAAAAACCCCATTTCCCCCACTTAGGACGGGAAATTGGGCCCTTCCCCCCCCCGTGTGAGATCTCTGATGTGAAAAAAAGACAGGCCTTCACAAAAAAAAATTTTCCCCGCACTCAGAACGGGAAAATTACGGTTTTCCCCCCCTTTGTGAATCTCTAATGTTTTGTAAAGTTTGGGGATTCGGGAAAAAACATTTTCCGCATAAAGGACAAGAATATAATTTTCTCCCCCGTGTGAGATCTTTGATGTCTGAAAAGGGAAGTGGACTTCTGTGAAAAACTTTTTCCCCGCATCGGCCCGGGGAAATAGGGTTTTTTCCCGTGTAAATTTCTCTAATCCCTTTGAAAAGGGTTTTGGACTTCCTGAAAACCCTTTTCCCCCCGCCCCTTAGGACAGGAATTGGTTCCCCCCCCGTGTGAGATTTTCTGATTGTGAAAGAGGGGAAATTCACTAAAAAACATTTCCCGCACTCAGAACAGGAATACGGTTTTTTCCCCTTTGTGAGATTTCTGATGGTGTAAAGATTGGACTTTGTGAAAACTTTTCCCACACCAGGGCAGGAAACGGTTTTTTTCCCCGTGTGAGATCTCTGATGTGTGTGAAGATTTGGATTTAACTGAAAAAACTTTATCCCGCCTTGGGGACGGAAAAGGTTTTTCCCCCGTGTGAGTTCTCTGATGCCCTGTAAATTTTTGGACTTCTCTAAAAAACCCTTTTCCCCCCACCAGGACAGGAAAAAAAAACCCCGGGTTTCCCTCCCCGTGTGAGATCTCAAAAGTGTTTTAAAAAAGGGGGACGTCGGGAAAAAAAACTTTTTCCGCACTCAGGACAGGAATATAACTTCCCCTCCCGTTTTGGAAAATCTCTGATGTCTGAAAGAGGGGGACTTTGTAAAAAAAACTTTTCCCGGGCACTCAGGACAGGAATAGGGGCCTTTCTCCCCTGTGTGAAATCTCTGTTTGTGAGAAAAGATTGCACTTATTTGAAAAACATTTCCCCATGGGGAAGGGAAATATGGCTTCGCCCCCATGTGAGATCTCTAAAGTCTGTAAAAAAGGGGAAAATTTTTTAAAAAAACATTTCCCCCCACTAAAAGGAAAAACCCAAAGGAAATACGACATCCCCCCTGTGTGAGATCTTGATGTACGATAAGATGGGTTTTTTCTGTAAAAAAAACATTTCCCGCACTCAGGACGGGAATATGGTTTCCCTTTCCCCCTGTTTTAAATCTTTTTTTTCTATTAAGATGGATTTTAGGGGAAAAACTTTTTCCCGCACTCAGTACAGGAAACCCTTTTCCCCTTTGGGAAAAAGGCCCGGGCCCCGGGTCCCGCACAGTCTGGGGTTTCCCCCCCTCGGGATTGGGGGAATCCCAATGGTCCATCTACAGGGGGGTGCCGGATTGACTTTGGGGGGACCCGGGGTTTTTTTCTCCTGGACAATACTGTTTTGATGTCCTCATCTTCTATTTTCCAGTTGGGGGAACAAAGGAAAACAACCCTTGAGGTTTTCCTTAATCTCCCGGCCATATTAAAAAAAAACCCCCCCAAAAGGATTAAAAGACGGAGCGTTTGGTTTTTCCCCAAACCCCAGGACTCCCCCCACATCGGGCCGTTAGTCAAGAAGGGGGAAACAACCAAAACTGTCTTTTAAAGGGGGGAAACCAGTGTTTGGGGGGAAAATTATAGGACGAGGGTCCCCACCCCCTCTATCATCATCGCCATTTTCCCCAACACAAGAATTTAAAATTTTTGTGGGGGGCCCCCTTTTGAAAAAAATCCCCAATATAAAACAATAGTAAAAGGATCGGGGAACCAAAATTATTGGAATTCAGTAAACATTGGAACTTTAACATTTTTTACTGTAAGAAATTTTCCCAGAGACCCCCACACCCCCCGCCTCCCATCTCCGAAAACTGCACTGATTTTTTAAAAACTTTTGGGAAAAATTTTTCCCTCTCACAGATCTTGCTAGCCCCCGGCATGGGCCCCAAAGAAGCCCCAAATCACCCCCCCCCCGGTGCTTGGTCATTAATGCCCTATGGTAAAAAATCAATTTTTTAACTCCCCACCCTAAACCCCCCCAGAAACTCCAAAAATTTCCAGTTTTAGATACATAAATTGTGTCGCGCCAGAGAAGGAAGATTATCCGAGAGAAATCCAGGAATCCCAGGACGGGGAACACAGCAACCAAGGAAAGTGGGGGTTGGGTGATATCACCCAGTCCCCGCCCAACTCTGGGGGCCCAAACAGTGAGCAGTAAGGGTGGAAGGAATGGATTTAGTTTTTCATGACCCAAACCCTTTTGATCTCTGTAAAGGGGTGTTCCTCCCCTATAAAATTTTCCCCCTTATTCCCCCTCCTCCCCCAAGACTGCTGATCATCCCTCACAAAAACGCCTCCCCCCCTTTTTCTTCTGCTTTCCCTCAAATTCTAGATCGATTGGATTTTCCACTTTTAAATCAAGGGAAAAAGGAAAAAAATTTTCATCTGTAAAATAAAAACTCACATGAAATATCCAACAATCATTTTTTAAAAAAATCCCTGTTCTAGATGGTTTTTGTCCTTCCAACATTGTTAAAGGTGGGGCGATGGTGTGATCTTCCCCGTGTGGAAAAACCCCGGGGAAAAACAGAGGACGGGGACATCTCCTGGGGGTTTTCCCGTAGCTGGATGACTCCCCCATGGTGTCCTGGGGGACAGAGTTTTTTGTTCTTTTAAAAAGCTTGACTCCTCCCCTCCCCCCAAACCTCAATCCTCCTCCTCTTTTAAACTCTCCTTTTGGATCTCTCAGGTTTCCCCTCTGAAATAATAATAAAATGACATCAATGGTAACAATTTCAGATTAAAGTACAGATCCTAATGATTTCTATCAGTGATTGTTCTCATCTACCCATGGGGGTGAGGGTTTGGTGTGGGCCCTTCCCGTGTTTTGGGAAACCCCCGGGGAAAACAGAGGCGGGGGGCATCTCTTTTGGTGGGGTTTCCCCTGAAAAGGAAACCATCTTTAGGGAAAAAACACCCCTGACGAAACCATTGTTTCTATTGTTTATCAGTTTATGGGGGGTCTAGGTGGATCCTCCCCACTGCTCTCCCCCCCTTTACCCAATTTAAAATCTCCCCCTTACCCGGGGGGATGTGAGGGGCGGCTGATTGTCCATCATGGGCGTCCTTGTAGGGATCCTTTGGCCCCTTTTAAATACTCCATCCTCCATGGAGAAATTGGGCAGTGACACCCCGACACCCCTTTTAGGGAAACCCGAAAACACACAATGATACAGTCACCATCCAGACACTTTTCCCCTTTTCTGTTTTTGGAAATGTCCCCGAAATTTTTCCGGGACCGCTCAAACCCCTCCCGTCAGCAAAATAGTGGGGGGTTTCTGGTGACTTCTAGAATCTTCTTCTTCTTTTCTCCTTTTTATCAAAGGGGGGGAGGTGGGAGGCAATGTGGGTGTATATGATCTCCAGACTTTTACAGGGGAAAATCTACCTTTTGGGAAAACAAATTGTCACATCAAATGATATTCCCGAAACCCCCTCCCTCTCCATTCAGGTCCCATTTTTTTTTTAAAGCCCCCTTCCCGGCTGAGGTTAATTTAATTTCCCCCCCCAGGGGCCCCCACATAACTCAGGGTAAAGCTTGGTGTAAGTTAATTTTTGATGTCCCTTAAAATAGAGGACAAACCCGTCCCACTTTGCAAGGGGAAAAACAAGTACCCCCCTGACATCCCCAAAAAAACATTAGGAAAAAAAAAACCGATGGGGGGATATTTTAGGAGGGGCTGGAGGTAAGTGTGATGTCAAGGATTCTCTGACTCTGGGGTGGAGGGAAAATTGGGAGGGGGGGAGCTGTGAAAGGGCAGTGTGATGTCATAGATTCTCGGGTCTTGGGGTGGAGGGGGCCAAATTGGGGGGGGAGGGGGGCTTGTGAGGTAGTGGGGGGCCCAATGTTAAAGGATTTTCTGAACCGGGGATTGGGGGGGACATTTTGGGAGGAGGGGGGGGTTTTGGGGGTCGTTGGGGGGTGGATGTCAAAAAGGACATATGACTCCCGGTTTTGGGGGGAAAATTTAGATTTGGGGGGATTTTAGGGGTCCCCTATTAGGCTCCCCTTTTAAACCCCAAAACCTTTTTTCCTGGGTTTCGGGCCCCACCTCTCCCAAACTGAAGAGTGACCTTTTACCTTTACCATCCAGAAATCGTCCCGGATTTTGTGGAAGTAAGCTTTTATGAGAACAGGTGACCGTGGAGGAACGGAGTGTAAATAGCAACAATTGTCTCCAACCCCTAATGGTTGGGGGTGGATTTGGGGGCGTGCTTTGGGGCCCAATTTCCTCCCCCCCCGGGCACTGCAGGTGTGGGGGGGAAAAGTGTTTTTAAGGGATATGGAGGAGAGATGAGGAGGAGATCCAGGAATCGGGGAAAAAGGGAGGGGAAGCAACAGACAGCGCATCCAAAAGACCCAAACCGGGGGGGGATACCCAGAAAAAACAATCCAAGGAAAAACCCGGGGGAAGAGGAATACAAGAAGGGGGTGAGAGGGCAATTTAGAATATTTCTCAGCCCCAAAGGGAGATATCCAGCATGGGCTTTCCTCATGAAGGAAAGAGGGGGAGGGGGGGGGAAGTCATGAAGGGACCCTAGATCCCCCCCCGGAAAATTCCCGCTGGGTTTAGCAGGGATCGCTCCCCATTTCCCTCCATGTTTTGGCCACAGCCCGGGTAAAAGCCACTCCCCCCGCGGCTGCAGCCCTAGCTTTTAGTGCCCGGGTGTGTATTTTTGAGAGCGGAGGAGTCCCCCCCATTGTCAAATAAAAGAGTGCAGCGGGGGAGGATTCCCCCATCCACCTCCAATGGGTGGATGGGGGAAAACACTTTTATTTTTCCCTTTCCCCTGACCTTTTTTTTCCCCCCGCTCCCCTTTAACCCCACTAGCCCAAATTTCAGAAACCTGACTTTTTTTGCAGCAGATTCTGCTTCCCCCGAAACACTTTCCCTTTTGGGGGCCCCCCCTCTGGAATTTTCCCCAACCCCCGTGGGGCAGAAAGGTGGTTTGGGGTTTGGGTTTTCTTCTGTCACCACTGAGCACCTTTCAAGTCCCCCCTAACCCTCCCCCTCTTTTTCCCTTTTCCCTTTTTTCGAGGCCCGGGTTTTCTGCGATTCTTGAGGATTTTTTCCCTGAACTATCGGCCTCCTGGACCCGTGTCCCGCGTTCTTGATTTTATTTTTCCGCCTGGCTGCCCCACTTTCTTCCTCTGAACTACCCGCTATTTATCCAAGAGATTTTAACATCCCTATTAATGTAACAACCCGGCTACATCCCCAACTCTTCAACATAACCTCATCTTTTGCATTAGCACAAAGGGATACCCTCCCCCACTCACTCTGATGGGAAAAACATTTTGCCCCTTGTTTTTTTTCCCCTCTTTGCCTTTCCCCACAACCTCAAAAAACACCCCCCTTTTTTTCTCCTTTACACAAACTCATCCCTTTACAGTCTCCTCGTCTTCAAAACCCCCTATCCCTCCAAACGCAAACAATTACCTGGGAGAAACCTTAAAAACTTTAACCCCCCCTCCTTTCCACTCTGCAACGGGCCTTCTCTATGACAGAATCTCTTTCCCCCGTCCCCCGCCCTGACCTGGGCCCCTTTTTTGTCTTCAACCGTTCACTGTCATCCACATTAGACTTTACTTGCTGCCCCTAATAACACGAAGCATCAGGCCCCCACCATTACATCCGTGGCCCCCGGGCTGACCAAACCCAGAACCCTTTAAAAAGACATAGTCGTGCGGGTGGAGCGATTGTGGAAAAAAACCCCAAAACTCAGCAAGCATTGACCCATATAAATTTTGCTTTCTTCACATTCAATTTTCCCCCCACCCTGTGGGCCAAAAAAAGCCTACTTTGTCACTCTTATCAATTTCCTTTTTCATCCAGCCTCGTCCGGGACTTTTCCGGACTCCATACCCTTCTTCCTACTCACTCTTAACCCTTTAT